TTGGCTCTCTAGATTTGAATGCTTTTTTCCCCCAAACGTTTAACATGGATATATACACAGAAACACACACATGATAAAAATATAATAATTACAGTATAGTAGTTATTTCAGCCAGTTCCTTCTCTGCAAAACTTGGAAGTCTTTAGTGTAATCAGAAGAAGACATATCAAAATCTATAAGTATGGTGGAATATACTTACACATTTTGAAACAATGGCTCTCAACTGCTTTCCAAGTACAATTCAAGGTGCTAATTATCACCTTTAAAGCCCTACATGGCATGGGGCCAGGTTATTTGTGGGACCGCCTTTCCCTGAGGGTATCTGAGGTTGGATATGGCATGCTCCAGGTCCCTTCCCTTAAGTGTTGCTATCTAGTGAGACCTAGAAAACGCACCTTCTCTATAGCTGGCCCTGCTCTGTGGAAAGGCAATATTCAAGCTATTCCTAATTTTACCCTCATGGCAATAATCCTCTAAGGTTGACTGAACTGACATACAGTGACTAGCCCAACACTGCCAAATGTAGATTTTAATCTGGGTCTTCTTAGTCAACATCCACCACAAACCCAGAGAATACATTTGCATTTTTTAGTATAACACATGAATCACTATTACTGCTAAACTGATGTGAACCAGGAATCAGTATTAATGCATCTTTTGTACCTGTGCACAAAAACAGTAATCTAAAAAAGTGTCATCTACAAGATGTGCCTTTTAGTTCCTGAATGCATATGCTAGCATTATTTGCAAAAAGTTAGCTATATTTCTGTTATATTACTGTAGAAATACAGACATTTGTAAATAAGCCTTTTCTCAAAACTCTTTCTTGCACTAAAATGGCTTTCCTGTTCCATCATATAATGTATGTCAAATTTGTTATCAAAGGACCATTCTGCATATGGTTTTATCTGCCAATTTTGGTGTTTCATTTCTTCCCAGAAGGCTACTTTTCCTTTATTACAAAGAAAACATTATGCTCATTTCTGTAGAATTACTCAGTGTTCCCATAACCTTAGTATGAATCTGGGAACAAATGAACTTTTCAGCAGTGTTATTAATACTAAAAGTTTTCCCGTTGTATAATATTTGGTATTTGATAAAGAACATGTTGATTTTATCTAGATTTACATACAGTATCCTGTGTTTGAGGATTTAGAACAAATGATCCTGGGTCAATCTCATTCTTCCTTTCTCCCATTTTTCCTTCAGTCCAAATAAGGCTGCAGTCTTGTGAAGCTGACTGAGCAAAGAGCACCTTCAAGGACCAAAAACGGATTTAGATGAAACTAAAAGATACACCAGCATTAAGTACAGTACTTATATATAGTTTGGCTATATGATTATTCAACTACTTTGCAATAAGATTGGTTGCACATCTTACCTATTTTTTAAAAAAGTACCAATCCTGCCAAAATCTAGTAACTGCAGTTCATACTCATTTCACATGTTCCCAGGTGAGGGTTCTGTGCAGGTATCTTCAGGAATGGTGTTTTGTTATTGGATTGTCTTCCTGTGTTTTTCATACTGTTTCTATCTTTTCTTTCCACAGAAGACACATTACAGAGGAAAAGAGAACTGATGTGTGATATTTTTGATTAATGCTAAGGGACATCTATCTTGAAGTATCCCGAAATACCCTATTAGCACTTTCTTTCAGTGAAATGAAATCCCCAGCTTGAAAACATTAATAATAGACATCCAGATTACACCTCCTTCACTCTTGAACTATATTAAATCAAGTATGCATCTCTTGTGGAGCTATATTCTTTCCAATCATGGACAAAAGGAATACTCTTTAACATGGAAAATCATTCCTTGGACACTGAGAAGAAAATAAATACAAAGACAGGAGAAACACATACTGAAAAAAAAATAGTATTGCACATAGTTTGGTACTGGGAGAAGCCAAAAATTACACACTTGAGGACCCACATTCAACCACTGAAAACACTCTGGAAGTAGACAGGGCAAAATACTAATTCTCTAGCTGCCTATCTCCAACTTGAAATCATTTCACAGGAGTGAACAACCTGTAGCATTTGGATCACATATTATCCTGAACTTAATTTCAGCAGCTCTGCAAGAGAGCAATTCAGGCCTCTAGTAAGAGATATCTGTCCCTCTGTTGAAGCACACAGGAGAGAAAAGAATAGATCAGAGAGAGGAAAAGAGGAATGTCAGAAATATATTTCAAGAGTGAAAATGAATGCTTCTGACTTTGGCTCAACAACTAGCTTGTTTCAGTGTTACCTACTATTGTTGTTCATCTTTGTCCTATACTGTGAGAAACTTCCTTTAGAAGCCTGATCATGATGTGAAATTGATAGGATGAAATAACTAGGTTGATTGAACATTCCTGGGACTGCATACTACTTAACTCCACAGATTCTTTCATCCTCCAGAAAAAGATTTTGCATTAAAGTATAGCACCTTGTAATTTGGTGTAAAAATATTACCATTTTTCCTGACCTCATCTAACCAATGAATTGAGATACCATTGCTCTACTCTAATGGTCTCATGATAGAGGAAATAAGACTAAAGCATATTTTAAATATTCCAACAGAATGTAATCCTTTTATGAAGTAACAAATATTTTCTAAACTTACAATGTTGAACAAACTTCCCTCAATACATTTTGGCTGCAGAATTTTGTAGGGAATCTTTGGGGTCAAATTCACTTTAGTTCTGTTCCAGAAAAAGCCTTAGCAATATGTGGGAATTATGATTCTCCAATTATGTATGCACTGGCACATTAGTTCCTAATGTTTTAAAACAAAGCAGTTATTTAAAACTCAGGTTTATTTAAAACTGAAGTAAGCTTGACAGTCATCTATCAATACAGCATGCTTTTTAAAAAAAATATATAAAATGCTTGGACTGAAAAAAAAATAAAAATGCTGATTGATGCATGCACATACAGTATCTTACAGTACTACAGACTGTTGAAGATTTAGAAGAAAACATGGTAATGTGGCATACATAGTTCTCACTGACAGCCTGGTTCTGGTGTCATAACTGTTAATTACAGAATAACATTCATAATAGAACACTTGATATGTCAACAGCCCTTACAGGTATTCTTCTGAAGACGCTGCTAACAGCAAGGTTCTCTACTAAATACAGAGTTTTTTTTTCATAATACAGTAATTAATATCCAAGGAGAAAAGGCAAACTGTGGTATAACAGTGACAGTAACATTTGCCGTTTCAATGCTGAAGCTAAACTTTAGGGCATACAATATCTCTTTACTGCTCCACTGATACCCTTCCATGGATTTCTTTGACTCAGTGCCACAAGATGTTACTCCATTGATGCAGACTAGTCACATTCATCCACAAAATGAATTGGACACCTTCCATCTGTAAAAGACCTACAATACCTTAAAATGTATAAGGGTGGACTTGAGATTTTAAAAGATGATATTTTTAGATTCCCCTCCTGCCATTATTTTACTTTTCCTTCCTAGAGTTCTAGATTCAGTTGGTAACTGTCTCACTTTTCTCATGAACTCTAAATCCCTAGCACATTGTAAGTGCTTGCTTCGGTATGATGGGCAGCTTATTTAATTTTTTTTTAAAGTGTAATTATTATGTACAGAACTGGCATTAAGAAATCCCGCAAACTGATAACAACAAAGAAAAGGTGGATAAAGTAGGACAGATTGAAAAAACAGCAAAATTATGCACAGTACAGTTATACATCTCTTGGTATGTTCTACAGCACAAAGGAGTATTTCCAGCTGCTCGGATGCGTGAAGTGTAGTAATTGTCTAAATAAGTCTACTTTGCTTTCATTTCCTTTGTTTCTGTTTCAATGTCCATGTCTGTCAGACAGCAGTAGAATAACATCTGAACATACTTTGTAGTGGTAGCTGCAAGATAAAATAAAGTGACCAATTTATAAAAATGGTAATTACATTGGCATTAATGGCATTTCTGTCTGATGTAAAAGTCCTCATTAACATGGCAACCCTGCTTTCTGGGACAAATTGGTTACTGAAATTTGGCATGAGATAGGGATACCAAATTTTGGGGGAGTCAAGGGAGACACTTTGCTTCTAAGTAAAGTGACAAGGGCTGCATTTTAAAAAGGAGG